AAACAAACATCGAAGAAACGACAGAACTCAAGAATAATAGGGTCAATAGATAGTCTAAACCCTAAAGTGAAAGGGTATGTATAAACAAAAGAAAACCCGGTTATGTAAGAAGTGATTCTTTGATTTGGACTAGGGATAATAATAGAAAAATCATTACTCCAATGACAGTCTCTACGAACTACAGAAATTAAACCTTCTATAATTTGAGTGGGATAAATATCAGCACGATCTAAACCAGATACTTGGTTACTAAGAGATTCTCTATCATAATAAAAAGATAGTTCCATAGGAACTATCTCCTCTACTGTAGGCTCACGAAGAGGTTCAGAAGGTTCCTTACCTCTTGAAGAAGATCTTTGTGAAAGTGAACCCCTAGTTCTAGAAAGAAGGGCCAGAACTAGGTAAAGGAGTGGAAGAACCGCGAACAGATCCTAAATTACGAAGCCTACCTCCCCTTATGCTTCTAATGGGGGCATTAGGGAAGGTATCAACTATGGGAACCCTTCTAGGGTTAGAATCTGAATAAGACATGATGAAGAAGGATGATACGATGAAGAAGCAAACAAAGATTTGAGAGATTGAATATTCAGTAAACTTTATGTGGAAAAGACAACGAAAGAAGTTATATTTATATTGATAAGCGACCGCCGAAGGAAAAAGTGTAATGATGGAAGTACCATAGTAATGATAACTGACGCTTTGTGAATAGTGGAGCCATGAAAAAGCCTTAAAAAGGGCTGCAAAATTGCAAAACTAATAAAAAGGTGACACGTGTGAAGAGCATTAAATAGAGGTGACAATTGAAGCGTCAATTTTGTCATAGCATTAATGGTGACAAAAATTCTCGTTTTAATGAAATCCACTTCCCAAATATTCAATTGATGAATAAATGGCAAGTAGGGGGACTATCTGTATTGAGAAAAATTGAGTTTACATATTAAAGTGGAATAAAAATGACGTGTCAAGACACGTAGACTAGTCAAAGAGTTACAGCTGGCAAAGAGACACGAGTTGCAACAGATACGAGCAAAGGCAAAGGAAGAGACACGGGCAGATATTCAAAGGACTCGGTGCCCGTATCTATTTAAGTCATTTAGATCCAGGAATCAAGGGGAATGAATCTGACAATATATGAGAGTACAGATACAGTATTTAGTGAGCATTAAATACTGAATACGTTAGAAAATCTGTATTAAATACAATGATTATGTAACGTAGCATTCAATGTCTTTAATTACTCATAATAGCCTTATTATGACAAGGGCACAACATATATCTCCCAAATAGCTATAAAAGGAGATAACTGATCAATTGTAAGGACACGAAATATTATCTGAATATATTGATTTACTTTTCTTCTGATTATATTATTGTTAGCCAAATTACTTTCTTTCATAAATTCTTTTGATTATCAGTAACCCGCGTTCTTCTAAATTAAAGCTTTGATCGAAATCTCATTTTTTTGTTAAACAATAGCTCCAGCTTCATTTGTCGGTCCTAAATTTTCAAAGGATGGAGCTTTTGCTTCCAGTTGAGCGGAGAGGTTCAAGTTTTAATAATATAACAATTGATTGCGGACTTATAGAAGATACACCAAAGGCTATAAAATGTCCACCCGCTATAATTCCATGTCAGAGATCAATCACCGGAAAGTAAGCTTTTTTTATCTTTTCCCTTTAAATTTTTCCTTTTTGACAATATTATATGACCTGCTCATATCGTCATCCACAGTTTACTTCTAGAAAATGTACTCCCGAAGCAAGATATACTAGGATCAAGTATAATTTAAAACTCTAGTCTTGTTTGACTCCCTCTAATTTAAGGATGACTTATCCATAAATTGATCTAAAGGGAGAAGAATTGACCGGAAATTTTGATCAACTTATTTGAGTTATTTTCATTCAGTAAGTTTCATTTAGTTCTTTATTTGCAAGAAGGTGCCAGTGATACTTTAAGAATTGGAAAAATGTTGTCAGCGGATTGGCTATTCGAATTAGTATCTTATATTGTCTTGTCTAACTAGATGTGTCATTCTCAGGACAGAGAAAATAAAAGGAATATTGAAAACCAAGAAAATCGTTGTGACTCAAATATATCGTCATTCAGTTGGAGATGAAAAATCGAAGCTCATTTGCAACTCCTAAGGAGATCAATTAGAGTGCTATGTCATCAGATACTTAATTACTTACATTATCACATGGAATGGCGTTGCCAAGGTTTGCTTTGCACAATAATCTTTGTGTTACACTATTCCTTTTATCCTAATTTTAAATATTTGTATACATTGTAGCTAATATAGAATTTGATAATGTAATAGCCTGGCTGCTAAAAATGGTTACTTTATGCATGCCTGATGACATGGTTGCTATTGTTTTATTAGTGTATGTTATAGACTTAGACTAAACAAATAAATAAACGAGTTCTATCTTTATATTAGATGATTAAATAATTTAATTTTTATTGTTGGTCTCATAACTACTCATTAGTATATTACTTTGTATGCAGCAACGAAATGGAGTTTTGAGGTGATGGTGAAGGGAAAACAAGATGGAAAAGTGGCTTCCGTAGGAAAATAGGTGACTGACTCTATTGATAATTCAAATAGAGGTGGTGCAAACATAATGCTAGTAATCACTACTGAGTTATCCTTTCTTTTGTCCAGGTCAAAATTTATTTCATTGCCAAATTAAGTGGTATAGGATGCGTCGTGGCTTTAACATAGGTGAAGCTCCCCATAAATTCCATCTAAGTCTCTCTCTCTCGCTCCCCCCCCNAGGTGAATTTCTTAGTTGTTCCTGTGATTTTCAAGAAAGTTCACTTCGCTCCTTTCCCTATACAAGTTGTGCCTCTTTTTATTTATTTGTTGTCTTTGATCAGGTGACAAGAACATGGTAAAGAGATTGAACATTGGCATTGAAGGTAATCATTTTTATGGACTTAAAACTGTATACACTAACGATTCTATAAGGTACACCTACCATCTAAAACCTGTTCAACAGCTTGGGGAATAGAATATATTAGTTTGTACCATGACCCTTTTACATGCTTATAATTTAGAATAAAAAGTTTACTTTTGTATAAACCAGGACTAATTTTGTTATTACTTGTTGCTTATTGTTTTGTTTAATTTTGTAGGCTCGAGACATAAGAAGTATGCCCCATCACGGTATCACCCGACAGCCCAAAAAGGGTCACCAATTGGAAGTAACACCGTATAATCATGGGAGTACTCGATGAAATTTTTTTAGGATTTGTTCTAGTTATGTCCCTTTTATTTAGTGGATGTAAAGTACTACGTGAAATTTTAATGCATTTTATGATATAATTTTGAAGTGTTTAAGTTATTTATATACAATGAATGGTTTACTTATTAAACATTTCTTTTATTTTCCTCGATTGTCGAATTCCTGAACATTGGGACAAGCTTTGATGAATTAGACAGGGTCTCGAACTAGAATGAAAAGAAATCTAAAAGAAAATAAGCAGGCAATGAAAGAGATTGTGGTGGTTTGAAATTGCCATTTTAGACAATATAAATAATGGCTTAATGTATATTTCTGGCGGCTATAATCTGCCGCAATTTGCAAGAATGAACCGCCATTTTATCACTTTTACAATTATGGCGATTTATAGAAAACCGCCCTAATAACTTTTTGGCGGATGTAATTGTGGGAAACCGCCGTTAATGTGCATAGTGGCGGTTCTCAACAGCCGCAATATCCAAAAAGAACTGCCGCAATACGCAGGTTTTTTTGTAGTGATAATTTAACTTAATCGGGTTCAATTAGGGTGAGGCGAGTTCATTTGTATTTTTCATAAAGCACCATCTTTTAGGTCTAATTAGTCATTTATAGATATCTTTTGCTATATTACATGTTATAGATATCTTTTATGTTTTTATACAATGTATTTTATGTATTTAAGCTGTTGTATTCATTAATACAATAGAAAATATAGGCGTTAAAAAGGGAATTCCAGCTAAGTTTGATATGTATTTAACTGTATTCAAGCGGCATTAATGTGAATACAGTAACGTATTTGCGCAAAATGTGGAAGGTTAAACTAGTTAAAAATTGAAGGAAATCAAATCACATGATATTCTCCTAATTTAACTCAACGAACAAAATCTGCCATATTTTTACATTAAAGCTTGGTACTGCACGGGTTTCTACAGTTGAGCTTGGTACTGCACGGGTCAACAAGGAGAGTTCTGACGTCAAGGAACTAAAAGAACAGGTTTCAAAATTGCCATATATTTTGTTTATCAGTGAACTTATAGGCATGAACTGCTTTTCCCTTCTACAATGTAGATAACAAAAAGACAATTCTTTTCTTCAAAAGATGTAGTCCAGAAGAATTGCATTTGGATTTTAAGTTTTAGTTTTTCCCCTTTAACAGATTGCCGGTCTTAAGGCAGCCTTAGCAAGGAAGGAAGAAGAGCAAGGGCGTCACCCAACTTCCAGATCAAGTACTCCAGAAAGAGTCAGAACAGGATCGTGCGAATCTTCTCTTTCTTCTAGTTGCCAAGAGTATGGTAGACCTTTCAAGCCATCATAGCCAGACCATGAATACAACTGAATACAATCATTTTTTAAATACAATTACCATTAATACATATGAATACAACTAAATTCAAACACATACAAGACATATTTTTCCGAAGATCCGATATAAATACAACTGACTATAACTAAAAACATGCTGCAAAAACTATTCGTATACATTAGAATACAACTAACAAAGCTCTATTATATGTAATTTTAATATGTATTGTCATGACGTATCCTTCTAATGTTTTTGTTAGCCTCCTGTAGCATAAAGTACAACAGACTTTTGATAAGTTCTGCACTAATTACAGTTGATATTCTGCTGGTCTAAATATATGATGTATTCATCTATATGTTAATAGTTCAGTTGTATGTAAGTTAGTAATTCAGCATTATACATTTGGTAATTCAGTTATATGTGCTCAAAACTTATATTTCTATTTTTAAATGTAGATGGTACCATCAACTGAATACTTACATACGGTTAACGATGGTGGGAGGAATTACACAGTCTGCCTGTTAGAGAAAAAATGTGTTTGTGGGAGGTTCCAAGTTGATGAATTGCCATGCCCACTTGCTTGGACTATATTGAAGAGCAAGATTCTAATGCCAGAAGAATATTGCTCTAACTATTACAAACCAAATATAATTGTAATGACATACGATGTGTCAATGTACTTGCTACCGAACAGAAATGACTGGAATATTCCAGAACATGTCGCAGAAGAGGTTGTACTACCATCCAAATGGAAAATACCTCCTGGAAGGCCAAAGAAGAAGCGCGATAAAACTTTAAGTGAATTGTTGCAGCCGAAAAATCAACATTCATGTAGCATATGTGGGCAGGGAGGATATAACAAGCGAACGTGTAGAAATGCTCCACATAATAAATAGTTAACACTCTGACATGTATTGGTGCTTCAACGATTTGTCAATACTTATGATGACATTGTCAAGTAATAATTCTCATTGTCAAGAAATATATTCTGAAATGACTTTCGTGAATAGATTCTGAATACATATAGTTGCCTTAATGTGTTGGATACAATCGAATATAACCTTGTCCCCATATACTTTGACTTATTATAGACAGTGCCTGAGTTATATACATAACTAGTCAGAATTCATCAGAATATATCTATAAACTCAGCTGTAATATAACAATTTTATTAAGTCTGAATTTATATTCTCTAACTAGACAATAACCTGTTTAATACATCTGAATTTATATTCTTTTTCAAGTATTAACTGAATTTGAAAGATACATATTAAATTCAGTATAGGTGAATACATAGAAATGACAACTGAATACAGAGAAATACATATGAACTATACAATTGAGTAGAACTGAGTATAGATGAATACTAAAATATACAACTGAATATAGCTGAAGTATTTTTATGAATAATACAGTTGAGTAGAACTGAATGTAGATGAATATAACAAAATACAAATGAATACAGTTGAATAATACACTTGAATACAACTAACTACTGCTAAATAAAATAGTTGAATATAACTGACTACAACTGAATACGTATAACCAGTTTAATACATCTGAATTTGTATTAACTGAATTTGAAAGATACATATAAATGAATGCTGCTGAATACAACTGAATGCAGCTGAATAATACAGTTAAATACAACTGAATACACCTGAATTCAGAAAAATACATCTGAATTCTTTAATATAACCTACCATCAGAATACATAAAGTTTCTGACTTTGATATTTACATGTTCAATACCTAAAACCTGTTCAAGAAAAGTTACTTGGTATTAATACATACTTGAATCCTGTAAGATAAATATGAATACAAACTGAAGAATAAGCATGAATACTTATGAACACCAGTGAAACAGCGATTGAAAAGTTGCAATTGTCATACACGAACACTGTTGATAAAGTGATAAGTTTTTCAAATTAAATACCATCTTCACCAAAATTCATACTCAAAACAGTATTCTTCTTCAAACTACATTCCAAAACTACATTAACCTAAAGCTACTCTAACACTATCTGCATCTTTGAATCTGACTCCGTGATTTGGCTAGCAATCTTTGAAGGTGCTTCATTCTCGCTTATGGCATCAGTGTCTATCTTCCGCATAGCATAGTCCCAGAGGAGAGCACTATATCTTTGACGGAGTAGATTGGAATCAAATGTTGTTTGTGGAATCTCACCAAGAGTGCTCAGAAACTCTGCGTATGCTGCAACATGCACCCCACAATCCCTAAAAAATAATTGATTGAAATAATTAAATCTAATTCATACAATCAGATATGTATATAACATACAAGAATGATGATTGAATACTTACATGCTCCCAACTTTCTGTTGAGGCAGATCTGATATGAAAAAAACTTCAAAGGGATTATATAGAGAAATATATATGAATAATACAGTTGAGTACAACTGTCTATAGGTGAATAAGACAGTTGACTACAACTGAATACAGCTGAATAAAACAGTTGAATACAAGTGACTACATCTGATTAAAACAGTAGAATACAACTGAATAAAGCTGAATACAGCTGAATAATATTGAATAATACAACTGACTACAGGTGATTAAAATAGTTGAATATGACTATCTAAAGCTGAATAAAGCAGTTGAATACAACTGACTATAGCTGTATTCACCACAGTTGAATTCAACTGACTATAGCTGAATACAGAGAAATACATATGAATAATAGAGTTGAGAACAACTGAATACAGCTGAAAGCAAGAAAAATACAGTAGAATACAACTGAATAGTACAACAGAATACAGCTGAATAATACAACAGTGATGGGAATCTTGAAAATCCTTAAAAATACAACTATAAAAATACATCAGAATACATATACATGCGTATAAATACAACTGAATACATTAATACCAAATAGTACAAAAATGTGAATTTGAATACATCTAAATAGATTTAAATACAACATACAATATTTAAGTAAGCACAACTCAGTTATTGACAAATGTGAATGAGTTCTAGATTGTTTTAATACTTATGAATACAACCAGATACATACGAATACAACATCATACATATAAAATTACTTGAATAATTATGAATACATATAAGTTTCTTTGAATGCATATTGATACAATATCAATTACCTTTTCGTGTCGTGTATCTGATGTTTTTTTTGCATCAACTTCCTTAAGATTGACACATGAAGAATCATTCATAGGTTTTTTCCTCTTTGAAGCAACTGAGTTTTTTGTTTCTTTTGAAGATTTCTCAACTTGGACTTCTTTCGATTTGTCATTGTGTAGTTTAGTTCTTCTCTCTGAAACTGTAGTTGCTGATAAATCTGCAAAATCTGACTCCGCTTGAGTTATTTGCAACGAGAAAGAGGGCCCATCAAAATTGAAAATTTTGGTGGGTATACCTCTGGTTATCATCTTGTGTGGCGTTGAATTCGACATTGGAAAGAAAAACCAAAGCTTCTTGGTGAGTAAACAATACCAATGGTTATTGTTTTAGAAACAAAGTAAAATCTGTATCAAAATTAGAGAAACAAAATAATGATATCAAAATCTAAGAATTAAACCTACCAGGAGCACTTGTATCGGCTCTAAAACAATGATTTTAGAGAGATGCGAAATGGGGAGTGATAATGACGGAGACCTAGAGAATTTGGGTGGGAGAAGAGTTATGAATCGTGGGGTTGTGGGAGAAGAGGGTAAAGTGTATGCAAAAAGAGAGAGAACGTGGTTAGAGCAGATATACGGTGATTATGTGAGAGAAAAGACTAAAAAGGAGAGAGAAAAATATTATTTAGCATATATGGTGCCTTAAATGTAGGATGTAACTATAATTAGATATTTTGCTATAAAGAATAAAAGGTATCTATAGGATATAATATTTTAAAATAGTATTTATTTAAAATAAACAGGGTACTAAGCTTTTCTGCTGGACTTAAAATTTGCTTTATAATTCCATGGACGAAATGCATGTGTCACATCATCTTACACTTTTGTCAGTTTGTGGGATAGTTTTAGACCAAAAAATAAAGTTGAAGACATTTACGGTCTTACAGGTAAAAGGAGGAAAAATTTAAATTAAATTCAATAGATTGGGCATATTTTTGACTCTTTCCATAAAATTTATACTAGTACTAGCTAATGTCACAAACCAAACACGATAAAATTTTTATATTGGGTTTAGCTTCTAGCTCCCGCAACCAAGTGAACCCTAAGTTATTGATGTTCGACTCTATCATTTCATGACGTGTTGTCTACCTATGTAAATTATATAAAAATAAAATAAACCTGTGTGAACATTGCCTTTATTTGGCCAAATACACAAAGTTGGTGAGTCCGAAACTTTTTTTATGCTCTTTTGGACAAAAAATACGTTTCTAATGTTAAAAAAAATATTACGTAATTACGTTACTTTAACAGAAATTTGGCTGTTAAAGTAAAGCGCAGTATAGTACTGCATTTTATTTAAAAAAAACTTTTTTTTACGAATTCGCAGTACTATATTGCGTTTTACTTAAAATCTGGGTCCAACTTTGTATTATTAAAGCAATTCGCAGTATTATACTGCGTTTTACTTAAAACGCAGTATTATACTGCGTTTTACTTAAAACGCAGTATAATACTGCGTTTTAAATCTAGGTCCAACTTTGTATTATTAAAGCAATTCGCAGTATTATATTGCGTTTTACTTAAAATGCAGTATAATACTGCAAATTGTTTTAATAAAATAAACCCCTTCTTCTTCCTTGGACCACAGAACCGACGACCCATTCTTCTTCGGATTCTGCTGGTCCCCCCCTGTAAAAGTAAAAAAAAAATTGGGCCCCACCCGTCACCTAAAGAGCAAGGAGTGTAGGTCCCACACATAAGACAAGCTTTGGATTCCTTCTTTCGGGTGCAAAAATT